TGCAAGCAAGCCCCAATTGCATGCTTTTATAAATTGCCTTGGTCATGGTGTCTCTTCATAGCAATAGAACAGTAACTAACATAGCCGCATCATGAGAGCTCATCCGGTTTCTCATGTAGATGGAGGTTTGGTGTGTGTGTGGTATTCAGGCAGCATTTACAGTGAACACATCATGCAAGAGCTTGGACGCCCATCCTCTGTCTCCATGGTGCACCTCCCTAGTGGAGGAGCCGGCCAAGCAGCAGGTCCTTAACAGCACAGAAGGAAGGCTAGGTGCTATGTGTTGACGAACCTACACTTGCGGTCCCCACAAAGGCTTCTGGGTGAAGCCAGCTCCTGCGGGAGAAGACGGCACTACACAGTGCAGTGGCTTCAAGATGAGGCTAGCCCGTGCAAAGGCTGGGCTGAGTTGTGGCTTCAAGATGAGGCTAGCCTGTGCAAAGGCTGGGCTGAGTTGTGGGTTCAAGGTGAGGCTAGCCCGTGCAAAGGCTGGGCTGAGTTGTAGCGTTGCCCATGTTAGGGGTGGAGCTTGGTTAGTGAGGCCTGAAGGCGAAGTCGAGTGGCATGAGATGATGGGGGGCATGACAGTGAGACCCTGTAGAGCCCCAGAAGCTGTGTGAAGAACCCCCATTTGAACTAGAGCTTCCAGGAAGTGCTTCAGTTATTGCTGCCAGAGTGTTGCGTAACCAGCATCCCCAAACACAGAATCTTTCTGTTCTAATCATGTACTGTCCACTGGGAGTCTGATCTATGCTAGCACCATCTAGGCTTAGTGGCAGGCCAGAGGAGGGGTTAAGCTGGTCCTGCAGGCTTCTCAACTTCCTGGAGCCAGTAGGCCTGGGGACCATGTCTTTTACTCAGAGAGGCAGAAACACAGAGGGGCAGCTATATTTCAAGCCTTTACTGCTTCCTGCTTGTGATATTCCACTGACTAACATGGGTCCCATAGCCAAGCACACTGTCGCAGGGAAAGAAAGCATATTCCGCCCTAGTCAGAAGGACAGCTGGGGAGGGAATAGCTCCTGCTTATTGAAGAGCTTTGGGATGCTAAACACATCCATCTACTCAGGGTTGGGAGAGACCTGTCTGATAAGAAAGACGACAGGGAAGATGGCGTGACAGGTATTAGTGTGGCCAGGACCTGGGCAAACATCATCTTATTAAGGCACAAAGACCACGCTCAGTAGGTATTATTCTATTTAACGGATGAGCGAGCAGGTAAAGATGGAATTGTGACTTGCTCAGACACAAGGCCAGCAGGGGCAGAATGAAGGAGCTACTGTGAGAGCATGGCAGGGGGGCAATGAGCTGAGCTCTGACCTCCTGCTACCCAAGACAGCCCATTCTGGGCATCCTCACTGCCCCTTCATCTACACCTAGGCGTGGTGTGGGGGAGGGGGTATCAGGACCACCGTTGCTTTGATCTCACCCCAGTCTCTCTAGCTCCAACCCTGTCCTTGCTTGGAAAAGGTGTCGGGGTGGGTACCTGGCATTGCCACCAGCAGCGCCCGGGAGGGTATTAGATGCAACTAATGCCAGCTTGTGTTTGTTGAGGCCTTTAGTGGGACCCCTCTCTCCCTCCTGCTGCTGAAGCGAGCTTCTCAAGAAGCCGGTGTCAGCCACCCCACTCTTTACAAGAAAATCATCTACATGATCGATTCCTGCAGTCTGAACACCGAGCATGCAAAGATTTATGGTAGGAGGCTTTCTCCACGGCTCTCTGCCTCCGAGTAGCGTCCCCACCCCGGTGCACACAGGTAACCACTGTGCTGTCTCTCCCTGTATTGTTCTCCAGAATTATTTAATGCACATGCAAAAATTAAAAAAAAAATAAGTACAGGTTCTCTCCTGTTTGGGTTTTGCTCAAACACATAAGCTAGTGGATTTCACAGTTTTACAACCTCTCCTCTCATTTAATCTTCACTGGCAATTTTTTCATCCCGGCACCGAGGAAACTCCCTCGTTAATTTTCGGCTGCAGAGCACAGACCTATGGAACTCACATCCCCTGTCCCGGTGCTGATGGATGCGGGAGGCTCTGGTTCTTTGATAAACCAGACCAAGCTTCAGCACATACCTTCTGCTCTCTGCCAGGGTTAAATTTACCTGCAGGATCAATTCGCAGGAGCAGGGGTGCTGAATCCGAGGGGCGGCATGGCTATCACTCGGTTACACACAGACAGCCCTGCATGGTTGAGCAGATTACACACACCGACAGGCGGTACCTGAGAACTTGCTTCCCCAGAGCCTCGTCACCAAAGTCTACCAGGCGGCTAGAGAGTGGGCTTCTGTTTGGAAAGACTGTCGTTTTCCCCCCATCCTTCCCAGGACAAAACAGCATCCTCTGGCAGATGGGGAGGTGGGCACAGCCCTGTCCATTCTCCCAGCTTGTGGTCAGCTAGGGAAGAGGACAGGGGCACATCTCTGGCAGCAGCTTCCTTTATGGAACAAGACGAAGGCACTTTCTGAGGCACACTGAGGATCCTCAAGGGACAGGCGGCACCCCTTAAGAGCAGAGTAGGCACCCCTAAAGCAGCAATCATTGACATCTGGGCTTGGTAGAGAAGTAGGGCCAAGGGGTCTTTGGTGGGTGAAGAAGGGATTTCACTCCCTCAGACCTCACTCATGCCCTTGGCCCCTCCTCCGTACAGAGGGCTGTCACCTTGGCACACCGATGCCTGCACATGGTGGGTCCTCCCCCCCCCCCCCCCCCGCAGGCTGGTTACTGAGCTCAAGTGAACAGAGATCTCATTAAGCTCAGCGAAGCTCATTAAGACTGCAGCCCACATTGGCGTCAAAGGAAGGTCAAGCCTCTATTCACGGGAGCTGGTGCCTCTGGGACCCAGTGGTGCCAGCGCTCACAAAGAAGATGAAGGGGATCAAAGAGGCAGACAGCTGTGTGGCCCAGGTTCCCTAGGGCACCCGAACTGTTACCACCCTCTTCTCCCAGGCCGGCTCCTGCTTTGGGAGAACTGCGTGGGAACTGGGTCTATCAGCCCCTACACAGGGAAGAAGTATGGCTGAGAAAGTACAGTTGGATGTTGAGACTGCCCTCCTTGGAGGAGACAGCAAGCCTGGCCAGAAGCCACTGTGCCATACAGACTTGCCCTCTCTGATACCCAGACTGCGCATCTGTAAATCAGAGGCTAATTTATAGGCGCCCCAGGGGTCACAGAGTTGCCCAGAAGCTAGGGAGTCTGAGCCACAGTCTCCTCCATCCTCGGCCCATCTATCCAGCATCCCCATAGCCCTCTGAAAAGGTAGCGGTCCTGGGAAGAATGAGCTATTCCTTTAAAGTAATGGGCCATGAGCCAGGCAGGGCTCTCCCGGAGGAAGGGAGCATCAGGTAGACAGCACGTAAATGAACCAGCTCTGTATTAATCTGGGTTATTGGGAAGGGCTCAGGAGACATCAGGCCTTCTGGGATATACTGTCAATCTGCCAGGCCCCTCTCCGACTCTCTCGACCTGCCGGCCATTCATTAGCACCACACTCATGTTGTGGTCAGCTAGATGGGCCCTGTATAGACGGCTACCACACAACGAGCTCCAGAAGTCCTGGGTCAGGACCAGCCTGCTCCCCGGGACCTTTTCCCCAGTGACAGGCCTCCCGCGGCTCCAGCTTTACCAAGAGGAGAGTATGTTACGCAGACCCCGAGCTTGTTTCAGGAGTCCAAGAGCAGGCTCCTCGGTCTGACTGTAGCCTCCAACCCCCTAGTAATATCACCCACCTTTGTGAAAAGTTATATGCTTTCATTGTTGAGGATACACCTTGGGGACACACTTAGGCTCCACGTCTGGCTCGTAATCCAGGAAATCCCATCTCGTATGTGCTGGCTCTCTTGAAAGCATCATCTATACCTGATGACCAGAAGAAGAGCTGATTCCTCCTGGGTGTGGTAGTTCAGGGGCAGAGGCAGGTGGACCCCTGAGTTCAAGGCCAGCCTGTCTGCAGAATGAATTCCAGGACAGTTGGGCTACTCAGAGAAACCTTTCTTGAACTCCCTGCCATTCTGCCTCAAAAAAAAAAAAAAAAAAAAAAAGGAAGAAAGAAAGAAAAGGAAGACTGTGACTGTGTGTGACAACCCTGCCCCTGTGTGTGATGTCTGTCTGGTCCTGACGTCTAGTTCCACAGACAAGAGTTTATTGGGGGTGAGGTCTCTGAAGCCAACAAGGTTAAGATGGAGCCATTAGGGTGAGGCCAACTCCAGCATAGCAGATGTCTCTCGTAGAGAAGGTTGAGGATATGAAGTGACAGGCACATAGAGGCTGGGAGACGCCCAGCAGCCAGGGGAGGGGGCTGGACCAGATCCTCTCTTTGGATCCCCAGTGGAAACAGGCCTGCTGTCAGAGCTGAGGGTCTTACATCTGTGATGCCATCATGGCCCCTCAGGAAAGAAATACCAACTCCAAGAAGAACATCTGCTATATCACAGGCCAGCCCGTCCCAGGGATCTTTCCATTTCTTCACGGTGGATGGTGGGTACAAAGGTTTGACAATCCCCCAACAAACATTAGGCGCTAGGCCATGCCAGGTGTACACTGGGCAAGGACACAGTGGTATCTGTCCTGCACTCCAGCCCCCCCTTCAATATCTACTAGTGACTGGGTGAGCTGCTGTGTAGACCACCCCGGATTCCTTTCTCACCCTCAGGGATCTGTCCCAGCTCAAGCCGTGTCCAGCTTTATATAACTCAAAGGTCACGTGTTTGTTCCCGGGAAGGCCAGTGTCTGTCACAATGCCAGGCTTTCAGAGATGCCCAACTATGGGGCTGAATGGGCCCCATAAAGTCAGAAGCATCTTCTGAGCCCCAACCCCCACTGGGAGGCCCCAGCCTCACACCGAGCCCAGAGTGCTCCATCTCCATACTGGACACCCCTATCCACTCCCGTGTCTGTCCAGGTCCAGTGCCACCCTGGGTGGGGCTGCGCGTGAACACTTAAGTTATTGCATTATTAAGGACATGATGGAGCCAGTGAGGCTGGAAATGCTTGTGTTAATAGCAGCAGCCTGCAGTTTCGTCTCACTTTAATAGGGACCATCTGCCGTGAGCAGGCGGCTGGCACAGCCAGCTCCTCCCCGTGCGTGCAGCACCCCAACACACATGAGTCATCCGTTCTCAGTCAGGTGAGGGGGATGAGGTTTAGGAACTGTGGGGGTAGCTGAGCCAGAACTCCAGGGAGGGATGTTGAGGCTCCCTGGAGGTTGAGGTTGGGGCTGGGGCTAGGACATGCATGACCCCAGAAGTGCCTCTGTCTCTGCTGGCCTGGACACAGGCCTGGTGATGATCACGGGGTCATCAAGCACTGGCTGCATAATGCTGAGGGGGTGTGACTCAGGGGGTGTGTCCCCCTGGATCCGCTGTGCTCTTCTTGCAAAGGCCCAGGGAGACCTGTGCTCTGAGGCAACTTTGGCTCTGCCCTGATCCAGCCACAGGGCAGCCCCTGCCTCCTGGTGCCTCAGTTTCCACATCTGTAGAGTGGGAGTCCTGAAATGTCCACCCAAGCAGGCCGTGAACACTGAAGCGGCATGAGAGAAGACCCTGGTAAGGAGCCACCTGCTTGGTGGTGACTAGATACGGGAGGAGGGCAAGCATCCTCCACGACCGGGCAGACCTCAGTTGGGGAGAGGGGATGGAGACCAGACAGTATGGGGCTGTCTGACTCCACTCCCAGTCTGAGCTGTGATGAAGGTAGTGTGGCCCACACAGCTCTGAGTCCCAGTTCCACGAAGCCTGCAAGCGGAACTAGTTGGAACTGGGCCAGGAAACGGAGAGCCTCTGCGTCTCAGCTCCCTTCGTCCTCGGCTGCAAGGTTAGATGCTGGAGACAGGACCCAAGCACGGGGCTATAGTGTAGCCCCACTGGGCAGGGGGATCTTGTAGCCGCTGCGCAAGAGCACAAGGCAGGCACCCAGCCCCAAGGCTCCCGCCAGCAGCACAGCACCCAGGGCCTTGAGGAAGGAAGTCCTGGTCCGGGTGAAGGAGCCCGGGGCCATGATGCCCAGCAGGGCGGTGCTGACGGTGAGCGTGTAGAGAATGGATACGCCCGTGTTGAGTGCCACGATCTTCCCAAACTTGGCGAACGGGGCGATGATGCAGAAGAAGAGCGGGACGGTGGCGATGACGGTGGTGAGGGCGCTGGACACGATGGCCACGCCAACATGCCGGACGGCCTCCAACGTCCTCCACTGGCGCTGAGAGCTGGCATCCTGAGGCAGTGGAGAGAGAGTGGGGAGGGCTGAGCACCCACTGCGGGCATTAAACCTGGGCTTGACTTTGGAGTGGGTGAGCATACACCGCTGCCCCAGGCTGGCTCTGCCTGAGACTGGCTCCCACCTCGTAAGTGGGACTCTCACAGGGAGGGTCACAGGGCACAGACATGCTGAAAGGATATGCACGGTGGGTCCTTATACATGGGGGCTCTGACTGGAGTTATTCCAGTCTTTCAACCTGAAAGTGATTAGGAGTCTTAATTCTGTCACCTTTTGGTCCATGTCTTCACATCAAACCTAGGACAGGTAGCTTTAATTGTCTACTTGATACAGCCACCTGGGAGAAAAGTCTCAGTGAGCGGCTGTCTGCATCGGGTTGGGTTGGTGGGAATGGTTAACAGATGTAAGAAGACACAGTCTACTCTGGGCAGCACCACTCCCCAGGCAGGGGAGGTCCTGAGCTGTGCAATAGTGGATAAGTCAAGCTAAGCTCAAGCAGCAAGCGAGCTAGCAAGAGAGCATACATTCAGTTTCTCTCTGCTCTAGACTGAAGAAGTATGTAACCAGATGTTTGAAGTTTTTGCCCTGATCCATCTATAATGTTGGAGCATAAAGTGGAGTTATAAAGCAAATAAATGTTTCCTCCTCTAAGCTGGCTTTTGTCGGGGGGATTTTATCACTCAATAGGCATTTAACTAGAGTAACCCCACCTCCCATCCCTTCCTTAGGTTCACAGCAAGCTTTGGCTGTTACATGACCCAAGGGCTGCAGGGCTGTGCTTGCATGGCTGGAAAGACAACCTCCGTGCTCCCAGGGCTGTAGATTGCGACGCTGCAGTGTTGGGAACAGCTCCTAGGATGCAGCTTGCCCATGGGTGGAGTATGGGATGTTCATCTGTTCTTATGGGCCCTCCCACTGACCCAAGGTGGGAGCTGAGTCAGGGGTCAGGCATACACAGGACAGCTTACCTCAGCCTGGTGTGGGGGTAGATTTTCCCCAGCTAGCAGATAGCCTTCTACCAGATGGACACAGTAATCCACAGAGGAGCCGACCAGGATGGACAGCGAGATAGCCTCCACGGCTCCCATCTCCCAGCCGCTCCAGTACATGATGGTCACCACAAGGCAGACAATGCCTGCAGGAGGGACAGCAGAGGTACGCTTAGACATCCCCCTATCCACGTGGTCCTAAAGAGTCCCTAGGAAACAGGGACATCCAGAGTCAAGAGGGATGAGGGTCAATGCCAGAGAGAAGGGAAGAGATGAGGGAGGGGGTGGGTACAGCAACGTGTCACTTACCTGAATGATGGCACAGAGATACCTGGTTCTACTCAGGGAACACAGGCATGTAGTTTCTGTGTGTCACAGTCACATAATGCCAAACTGAGGGTCTTTTCATAGGGGTAAGAATGGCAACAAGGCCTTTTCTAGGACTGGGTGGCCAGAGGCTCAGAGGTCCAGAAGACTCTTCCCTGGTCCCACTCCCATGAGCCCGGCCTGTTGTCGCCTGCCACAGACCCTTACTGACCTCATCCCCAGGACACATCACCCTTGGCACACATACCCAGGATACTGAGGAGCACAGGCAGCAGGAGGAGGACATGGGTGGTGAACACGGCCACCGCAGCCACACAGATGAGAAGCGAGAGGACCAGGCCGTACAGGGCACTCTGTACCCCTGCAAGGGAGGAAAGAAGGGACTCAGGGGCTGCAGGGTGAAGAGACTGTGCTTCCTCTTGACCCCAGGACAGAGGTTATTGGCTTTGTAGGAAGAGCCATTTTGAGCTTTTCTCTAAGGTCTGCCCACAAGCAAAATTTATTTGGAGTTCAAGGAGTTAAACAGGGCCCCAGAGCAGATCAGACCCTAGGACCCTACTTTTAAAATTATTATTGTATGTGAGCCCATTGATCCAGCACACAGGTCGGGGTCAGAGGGCATAGGGGAGTTCGTTCTCTCTTTCCACCATTGGTTGGGGGACTGGCTCAAATGATCAGGCTTGCACAGTGAGCGCTTTTATCTGCTGAGCCATCTCACTGGTCCAAATGTTCCTTTCCAGGTGGCCAAATTCAAGATCACACATGGCCAGATGCCACCGGCAGGAGAGGACCCACACTCTGGCCTCTCATCAGTAGTCTGGCAACTGTATCTCATTTTCCTTGGGTTCTGAGCCAGGACTCAGGATAGCAGAGCAGTGGCGTAGACGACACCATGCCCTCATTGTGGGTGACTGCCTTTGCGTGGCTACTCACAGCCGGCCTGCAGGAGGGTTGGACTCACACCCACCTATGATCTCCATGAAGATTTGCTTCCAGTGCTCGCAGGTCTGGAAGCCTCGGCGCAGGGCTGAGCCCTCAGGGAAGGTCTGCAGCTGCTGCCGGAGGAAGCTCTCCCAACGCAGGTAGTCCGAGTAGGTCTGGAAGGAGGACTTGCCCTTGTATGTGGTCTGCAGGGGACATGGTCTGGTGAGACTAGTGGGTCTTCTTGCATTTCCTAGAGACAGCTACTCTGTGGCCACCAGCGGAGGTGTCCTGCGAGAATGTGGGGGCTGAGCCATCCCCCATGAGCTGCCGCTGGCTCTGAACCAACATAATTCTCTCTTAGACTCCTCCATGCTTCCTCATGTCACCCTCTGCCTATTCGGGAAGCCCCTCCACATGACCCTAAGACTGGTTTCTTTCTGTTCATGACGTGCCTCCTCTGGGCTCTCAGAACATCTGGGCAGATGCTTGCCTCTTGGCTGGTTATGCAAGCTTGCAGTGCCTTGGGCAGCCTGCTAGCTCACAGTGCACAGCCTTAAAAGGGACCTAGAACTTTCTTTTGTGTTGCCTCACTGACCCAGTTCTGTTATGATCTAGCCTCAGCATGTCTACTCACAGGTGTGTGTGTGTGTGCACATGCGTGTATACATGTGAGTGCTGCTGAGGTTCAGCTGGGAAGGGGATGACCTGCTTGGTCGTGGAGATGATCAAGGGCATCTCCAGTCTCAAGTTGGCTGTGGCATCAGCTTGTAAAAGGGAAGACGGTTCCACCACATGCTACGAGACGGACGGATCTTGAAGGACATGTTGCTCATGAAAAGGACAAATCTGTGATTCCATTTATATGATATATTTAGTGTAGTTAAACACAGACAGAAAATAGAGTGGGGGTTGCCAAGGGTTGGGAGGAAGGGCAAGAACTTTGCGATTAATGGGGACAAAGCTTTGTAGATGGATGGTATCAACAACAGTACAACTGTGACAATGTATTTTTCTTTCTTTCTGAGACAGGGTCTCACCATAAGGCCCTAGCTGGCTAGAAATTCACTATATAGGCCGTGCTGGCCCAGAGCTCACAGAAATCTATTTGGCTCTGCCTTCTAAGTACTAGGATTAAAGGTGTATGATACCATGCCCAGTTGCCAATGTCACAAAAAATTTTATGTTTAAATATCATGGGAGGTCTGCCCCTTTCTGAACGGAGATGGAGGAGTGGATGGGGGGGATGATAGATGGGAGGGAGAGGAGAGAATGGGAGGAGAGGAGGGAGGGGAAACTGTAATTGTATGTAAAATGAATAAAAAAAAGTCTAGAATGCTGGGATGGCCAGTCTTCGTTGTCAATGTGACTAGATTTAGAGTCAGTAAGGATTCGATGAGACACACCCCTGGATGAGTACGCTGAAGGTATTTCCAGGGAGCTACAGTAATTGAGAGGAAAAGACCCACTTTGGGTATGAGTGGCACTATCTCATGGGCTGGGGACCTAATTAAATAAATGTTAGGAAAATACTTTTGAAATGCCAATATTCTTTCTCTACTTCCTGGTTCACCATGACAGGAAACACTCCGTTCCACCACCCTGTCTCAGTCATGAGGGAGTAAACTCTTCCTCCCAGTCAGGTATTTTAGGTCATAGTGATAGAAAACTGGTACCAGGAGTGGGGTTGTTGCTGTAACTAACCCTGACCATTAGTTCTTATGCCCCTAGAAATTTGTAGGAGGAATTAGAAAAACTCTAGAATGTTCTAACCAGAGTTTATTGGGCCATTCTGGTTGGAGTTTGGAAGATCAGAATGCTGACAGGAATTTAGACAGTAAAGACTGTGTGCTTGAAGTTTCAGAGGAAGCAAGGACTCCTTTGGAAGTTAGACTTTTATTCATGTTATATTCATTCATGTTATATTCTGGCAAAAATCACTGTCTACATCTTGTCTATTTCCCTTCATGGATAATTTTGTTTTTTTTTTTTTTTTTTTTTGTTTTGTTTTTCGAGACAGGGTTTCTCTGTGGTTTTGGAGCCTGTCCTGGAACTAGCTCTTGTAGACCAGGCTGGTCTCGAACTCACAGAGATCCGCCTGCCTCTGCCTCCCGAGTGCTGGGATTAAAGGCGTGCGCCACCACCACCCGGCCCTTCATGGATAATTTTTAATTATCAATTTGAAATACCGGCAATGACCTGAGAAGAAACTCTCAGTGAGAAGCTGTCTGGGTCAGGTGGACCTGAGGGCATGTCTGGGGGATTATCTTGATGAGAAGACCCACTCATCTTGGCACCATTATCTGAGTAGGGAAGCTTGAACTGTATAAGACTAGAGATGAGGAGGTGGAGAGATGGCTCAGTGGTTAAGAGCACTGGCTGGTCTTACAGAGGACCTGGGTTTGATTCCCAGTACCCACGTACTGGTTCACGACCATCTGTAACTTCAGTTCCAAAACATCTCATGCCCTTTTCTGTCCTCTATGGGCACTGAATACATGTGGTATACAGACATACACATAGGCAACATTCATACATTAATAATAATAGTAATAATTTTAAGAGAGTGTAGAGATGAGCTCACACACACATGCATTCATTACTTTTTGCCTCCTGACTATGACAGAGGTGTGCCCAGATGTCTCAAGCTCCTGTCATTGTGACTTATTATGACGGACTGTGGCCTGGAACTCGGAGCTAAAACACACCTTGTATCCCTTGGGTTGTTTCTGTCAGGTATTTATCACAGTGTGCCGGACAGTTTCATGTCAGTTTGACACAAGCTAGAGTCATCTGAGAGGAGGAAACCCCAGCTGAGAAAATGCTTCTGTTAAGACTGGGCTGTAGGCAGGCCTGGAGAGCATTGTTTTAAATTAGTGATTGATGGAGGAGGGCCCAGCCCGTTGTAGGTGGTGCCATCTCTGGGCAGGTGGTTCTGGCTTCTATAAGAAAGCAGGCTGAGCAAGGCAGTAAGCAGTACCCCTCTATGTTGGCCTCCATGTTCCTGTCCTGTTTGAGTCCCTGTCCTGACTTCTTTCAATGAACAGTGATATGGCAGTATAAGGCAAACTCATCCTTTCACCCCCAACTTGCTTTTGGTCATGGTGTTCCATTGCAGCAACAATAACCCTAACTAAAACAAACAACAACTGGGAAGATATTAAGCAAGTCTCAAAACATGGTGAGAGGACTCATTTAAGGGTGACAGATTAATTAATTTAGCCAAGGAAGTTCCAAGACAGCACAACATTGAGGCTGTGGCATAGTTAATGCTGCCCATTTTTAGCCAAATTTATGGTAAAAATGAGTATTCAAAAACAAAAGCAGAGTAGAAGGATTTGAAAAACATGGAGTCTTCTCACAAAGGTGATCAACTGAAAGCTGTAGGAGAAGGATTGTTTCATAGATTAGCACTATCAAGGAAGCCCAACCATTTTGAACTAGGACAATAGGGAGGAATTAGACTCTGGGGCATAAAAGTGATAGCTCGTTTGGAAGATTTCCCTTGGCAAAAACAGGACCACCCAGGGAAGTGCTTTTCTGAGTTCAGCCACCTGGGCACTTAGAGGCTACTGAAGCCATGGCCCAAGGGCGGCCATATACTGCTCAAGTTGGTGTCAGACCGTGGTATCATCCACACGTGCTGGTTTGCAGGTATGCAGGATGCAAGAGGCATAGATCATGGAGCCTCACAGGGGCTCACAGTTGAGCGCTTCCTTGAGTCTCAGAGGAGACTCTGAAAGCAAGACTTTTGAAAAACATCAGAACTGTTAAGAATAATTTTTTTTTTTTTGAGACAAGGTTTCTTTGTGTAGCTTTGGTGACTGTCCTGGACTCTCTCTATAGACCAGGCTAGCCTCAAACTCACAGCTATTCTCCTGCCTCTGCTTCCCGAGTGCTGGGATTAAAGGCGTGTGCCACCAATGCCCAGTAGGGCTTTTTAACCCTGCTTTGTAGGCGGAGAATCAGAGGACAGAGAGAACTGGGGACCTGATCTACAATGTCATTGTCACCAGGATCAGGTAGAGGCTGGGACCCTGGTCTGCACAGGGAGGCAGCAGGACACCAGGGCGGCCAGGCCAGGTGATATGACGGTGTGCATGCGTGTGTACACTTATTCCTGTACCTCCCTTGGCGGAGCCGAGGGAACATAAAGATGACAGAGAGGCATCTCCTGGGCCCCCTTTCCTCCCACAGACAGTTAATCTATGTGGCAGAAAGGAAGAAGCTGTGTAGTCAGATGGGTAGTGCTTGCCACTGACAACTGCTAGCTGTGAGCCTCAGGCCAGAGCCGAGGTATTTTTCCCTGGTGGGGCAGAGAAACAGGAGTGTAGGGGGACATGCGTTCAAGACAAGCACACTGCGCAGCGCCCCCAGGCTCACCGACTCAAAGGCCATGGAGATCCACTGCACACGGCCCTCCTTGACACCCACCGCCCCGTGGGATAGCTGCCCTGGCAGCAGGTTGGGCTCAGGCAGCTCCTTACACTCGGGGTGCAGCATCTGCAGGAAGGAGGAGATGCTGTACCCTGTAGGAAGAAGCAAGAGGAGGTTGTGATGGGAAGAGTGGCCGGTACCACACATTACACCCTCACCTGCCTCTCAAGCTCCCAATGTGTCTGCAAACACTGGGCAGTGTCGTTGAGAGTCCTACAGCCCACACTTGCCGCTGAGGTGGAAAGTAACATTTTGGGCCACCTCAGCCAGGTAGTCTTTGGACCAGCAACTGAGCTTGCTCTCAGTTTTGGGAGAGCCCCCTCCCCCCGCTTGAGGTATTCCTATACATTACACTAGTACACATATCACACCTTAGGTGTGTGTGCCCATCCACTCGCAAGCCCGTGCATATCGGGGAAAATGTTTGTATGGAGTTGTGAGCGTTGTATAGGCATGCTCCAGCACAGACATCCAAACACTAGGCATGCGCTATCGCACCGTGTCATGTGAACCACGATCACACATACCTGAGGGCAAGCACTGGGCCCCGCCCGGCTTCACCAGCTCCGAGTTGCCCGCGATGGCCTTGCAGAGGCGACACAGGTGCCCGATTTCTTTGAAGAGGTCAAAGCTGCTGTCGTAGATGACGCTGCCCTTTCCCAAGGAGACACACCGGCCCGGGCACTCAGTGAGTTGTGGACTCAGTCCCAGGCTCCCCTTTCCCACTGTGGGCTCAGACCCTTCAGCCGCTCCCGTTAACTTTATTACCATGTCACCCCCTCATGTGGTACCCACTGTTCCCCTTGCTCTGCCCTTCTGGAGCCTCTGCTCCAGTAATAGCTCATCCCGCAGTCCCCTGCCCTTGTCTCTGTTCTTCCTCTCAACTGGACACAATGCTTTTCTCCTTTGCTTCCAGCCAGCTCTATCTTGCCTGCCTGTCCCCTCCTCGGTCTCCCACCCCTGCTCTGCACATGGACAGTGTCCATCTGTACTGGAAAGACAGAGCTCAACTTCTTCCTTTTGTTACAAGCATGTGCTGTCATGCCTGTGCCCAACCCAAACATGACCTCTAGTGACATTTTAAGTACACCTGCAAGGTCATTCAATCACACATGTTCAGTGATGTCTACATACTTCACCCCGGAGGAGGACCAGAGGACAGGTTTCACATGTGACTCCTCTCATCTCTGTTCCCGCCCCTAAAGGGGCCATATAGCCAGCGTGGGTCCCCAAATGTACCCATATTCTTGAGTAATTCTCAGTCAGTTCTGCTCAGTCCTCCAGGGGAACAACGTCCCCTCAGGGCTGCCATGAGTGTATATGAAGGACTGGACAGGCAAGCCAGGCACACGTGCCAGTTTTCAAGGTTGCTGCTGCAGCCGGGCCCTCCTACACCCATCCAAAGTGGCCGTACCGGGTCCCCGATAACGTGGTTGTCCATCTGCTGGGTGCGGTTGATGCCAATGATGCCAAAGACCACGAAGACCATGGCCCCGGTATCCACCAGTGGCCGCACTGCTGGCTTCCCACAGCCTGTGTTCACACAAGGGTTGAAGCCAAAGGTGGCAGAGATGCGGGCCTTGGGCACTGCAGGGGGGAGTCAGAGCCAACACTGAGGGGAGGGCTCAGGCTTCTGAGGCCCCCCTCGGTCCCCCCAGGGATGTGCCCCGACAAGTACCTTTGTCACTAGGCACGAAGAAGAAGCCTTTGGTGGGCCCATCGGGGCTGGAGCTGAGCAGGCACCCAGGTGGTGCCACACACAGGCGCCCGTGGAAGGGGGGCTTGTGAGACTGGGCAAAGTACAGCTTCCTGTGGAGGCAGGGAGGCCAGGCTGAGTCGGGAAGGCCAAGAAAACTCAAAGGATGTGAGGTGAGGAGGCCTGGCTGGCCTAGGAAGTCCAGGAAAGGTCGGGGAAGACGAGGCAAGGAGACCATTTCAGGGGTCACGGAGGGTGGGAACCAAGCTGTGTTTCCCCTGGCACAGGAGCAGAGGGTGCCCAGGGCTGGGAATCTCATGGCTTGCTTTATCCCTGCCTTTGCCAAGACTAGCCTGGCTCTCAGTCTCCCACACTGGCACGGGTTGGGGAGGCACAAATGTCCAGCTTTGGAACAGCCCTCCAGAGTTCAGGAAGGACCTAGGGCCGGCTTTAGTGTCCCACCTCAGCAGCCTATAGACCCATTGAAACCCGAGGAGTCAAGGAGCCTTGAGTTTGCCACTGGCTTCTAGTTTCTTCTAGAATGCTCATCCAGGGAGCTGCTAGGCTCCAGGCCACATCTGTGCATACAGAACAAGCGCAGTCCTGGGCTCAGCAGCAGTCAGTCCACCCTGAGACAAGGATGTTTGGCTGGAAAGGACCCCGCTAGAGCCACCTCAACACCCGCTGCCTCCTGATTTCACCTCTCTGCTCCAAATGAAGTCAACCTGTGGTGATGGGGGAGCTGAATGCCTGATGCCAGTTCCCAGTCAGACCACAGTGCCCAGGAAGCACACTTACTATAGGCCTGGCACTGAGATACCCTCCTGGAATGGGGCTGGGCTGTTCCCGAGTATGAATCCTAGTCTGCCAGCATGCAGCTGCCACTTGGTAGTCTCCTGTCTCCCAGAGAGGTGCTCGCTACCCCATCCTGTCTCCAGCATGCAGACACACAGCTCACATTTGGTGTTAGTGAAATGAATGCCTGAATACTTATGTCAAGACAGCCTTACCTGATAAATAAGGCTGTGTTCAGAACACAAGGGTATAAAGCTGGGGACATGACTGCCTTGGGGGCTTGAGACTCCATGTGGTGCAGAATGTAGCTCTCATTCAGCAAGAATTAGGTGCCTGCTGCATGCCGGGGGGTGGGGAGACTGAGTGTAAAGCAGAAACTGCACCAGATACAGTCTGCGCCATTCCCCGGCAGTGTAGGAGAGGGTGCAGGAAACCAGCTGCTTGCTTATTACAAGTGAGTGAGAACCTCGGACAGGAAGTGTGTCACACACTCATCCGGCCAGCGGAGACCTACTGAGTGCCAGACACCACACCAAGTGTGGGATGCACCAGAACAACCTCTCAGAGCGTCCGAAGGGCACCTTTCCTGGGGTGGGACAGGTCACCTGCCAGAAGAACATGCCTGCATGGAGAGTTTGGGGTGATGTGGGATGGGGCAGGGGCTCTGCTCAGGGATAGCCTCCCCCAGGGGGTGACATCAGGCTAGAAACTTGGATCTGGAGAAGTGAAGCTCAGAAGGACTTGAGCAGAATGTTCCAAGTACAGGAGACGGTGACCGCCAATGCCCTGAGGTGGATCCAAGAGATGGCCATGGTGACAGGAAAAGCAGAGCTGACAGGAACAGTGGCAGACTGGGCTTGGGGAATCGTGGGCCCATAATCTTTGCTAATATCTCCTTGCCTAGACTGAGAGAAGCGAAGAGAAGCAATGGTCTGGGTGGTGCACACAGGTCTATCTGCCTGGCTCTTACCGGGTATGCTGTTGCTCCTTGGTGGCCACGTAAAAGCTGAAGTCAAACTTCCAGCCCCGCTTGGCGTCGCAGGCCAAGGCCGTCACCATCCACTTGCGGGAGGGGCTCGCCGCCTGGAGCAGCCCTACTGTAGACATACAAGCGGTCAGCTTCTTGGTGAAGTCACCAAAAGGCGCTCTATACACCTAAGCAATGGGTTGACAGAGACAAGACACGTGACTCGGGGAGGCTGCCTGGGCCTGCCCGGCCTCAAGGTCTGTCCCCTCCCTCCTTGGCCTATCTCCCACCCTGTCCTGCTTCCCAGAGCTCAGAGGCCTAGGCTTGAACTTGAAAGCTGGGCAACCCTTCCTCTCTCCCTTTGCTCCCTTTCTCTCTGAACGTCACTTCTTTCCACCAAGAACTCACTGGGCTAGGCCTAATTGTCGACTTGACACAACCAAAAGTCATTTGGGAGGAGAGTCTAAATGAAGGACCCTCTGCACTGGGTTGGTCTGTGGGGGATGTCTCAATTAAGTTAACTGGTGCGGGAAGAGCCAGCTCGCTGCGGGCAGCACCATTCCCTAGAAAGGGGGTCCTGAACTGCATATGAATGGAGAAGCGGAGCTGAGTACAAGCAAGTGAGCATGCATGCATTTATTGCCCGCTGTTCTTGACTGGAGATTTGATGTGACTAGCTGAAGTTCTTGTCTTGATTTCCCCACAATGATAGACTGTAGCCTAGAATTGTCGACTGAAATAGACCCCACCATTCCTCCCCTAAGCTGCTTTGCATCAAGGCATCTTATCACAGCAAGAGAAACTAGGAAACTAGGTGTCTCCCTGGGACAGGTTCTGTGCCTGGATCTAAGGACTAAGCCTGGGCAGGATGGGCAAGGCCCTGCCCTCATGGACATGGCAGTGGGGATGCTGTCAGATTCCAGATGGGCCAGAGTCAGTCAGACAGGACCATCAGGTGAGAGAAGGGGCAGGGGAGAAGGGCATTCCGAGAAGGGAGGTCAGGCAGGGCCGTGGAGGGAGGGAGGGCATTTGTGGTGGACAAATCTGACCAAGTAGGTTCCTCTGTGCCAGACATCTGGACGGTGGGAAAGGGTAAAGGAACAAGGATGGTACTCCTGTTGAGGGAACACTGACTGTGGGCTTATCCTGGAAGGCTGTCTTCTGGGCAACCTCTTGGTTATAGGATAAATTATGGGCTGCCAGTGGGGACACTGAGTTCCATCTGTCTGGTGGCACACAACTCTTGTTCCCTGTCCATTAAACCCCGTTTCATAGATGAGGAGACAGAGGCTCAGAGAAACGGAATCACCTGCTCAACAACATGCAAGTTGCACATGCCAGAGCTAGGACTCAAACCAAGGTCTGCCTGGACGTAGGCCCCATAACACATCTGTCTGCTATGGACTGGACCTCATGTGCCTGGAGCAGCTCAACCCTCAAGGGCCCTGCTACCTGCCTACATGGCCAGTATCCACCAGCATGGCACCAATGGCCCCTCCTCAGTGCCTAACTCCCTGACAGCCGAGGCTCACCTGGAAGGATGGCACCTCTCCATCTCCAGGGGATACAGCTTGCCAGGGGGCTGGTAGGCTGGCATTGAGGGACAGCCTGTAGACAGCCGGACGTCCTTTGCTCTTCACTTTGGAGATGTACACAGTGCTCATGGACTCTGAGAAGAAGCAAGGGATGGAAGAGGAGTGGGCAGTGACCTTAACAGCTTCGGGATGGGACAGAAGTCCACCTTAGCCCTGTTGGTCGAGGAGCTGAGCACTGAGCTTGGGCTCCTCCTCAAGGATTGACACTGGCCCTTCTACCAGAAAGGGTTTGTGGGAATGATAGTGGGAGGTGAAGGTAATGGAATGAGATCGTGGTGGTGACGGTCATCGGGCAGGTGACAGTGATGGTGGAAGGTGGTAACAGTCAGAGAGTCACACAAATGATGTTGGAGACACCAGCAGTGAAGTAGGCTGGTGTTGCCATCCATGGGATACAGTGTCAAAGATGGGGCTAGGTCTGTAATGGCAATGGTGGGAACCACCGGTGACAATAAAAGTGGGTGACAGGGAAAGGATAAAGATAACCGTCCACTAGGGTCACTTCCCCTTGTCCCAGCACTTCTTCAGGAGACCCCTAAGAAATGAATCAAAGCTCTGGACACCCTTATACTGACTTTCAGAATGGCCTTGGTGACCAGGGCAGGCTCATGGAGGCTGCAGTTGGCAGAAGAGGCCTTGAGCTCTCCTTGAGTTCTGGGGGCTGTTGAGATGGCGGATGAGGACTCTGATTTTTCATATGTTGTCCCTTAAATGACCCAAGGACACAGGTTCTTGCTCCCATGGAGGGGGGGTCAGCTCTAGGTGTGATCTGTTCTCCAGGTGGAGTCAGACACGGGAGAACCAGGGTGCATCTACCCACCCACTCCACTCACCCTGCGCAGTGGCCTCAGGCCGGCTGGCCCAGGAAGCCCCAGAACCTCGCTTCTTCTTCTCCAGGGATGTCCTGACATTGTTCTGCAGGCTGTGGGGCTTCTCCTGGAACAGACCTGCCCCCACACACTGAGTCAGGGACATGGGGGTCCCTCTGGCCACGCCTGGTGGTCTAGGAGGACAGGCTAGGATCTGTGAAGGGCCCAGAGGCTGGGAGGAGTGGCTATCAGTGGTTTGAGGGAGAGTCAACAGAATCGAGGAAAACATCAAATGTTTATTTTGTCCCCATCTGGCGATGTCCCCACATGCCCACTCTGCGCCTCACTTTCCCAATTATCAGGGGAGGGTAAGGCTGGGCAATGGCCTGCCTTGTTGTAGCACAACAGACAAAATGTTGGTTTAAACTGAGAGAAATTTCACACATTAAAATATCAGCCCTCATAACCACCCAAGGTCAGGGTTATTAATCGCATTGGCAGAGGAGAAAGTCGTAGTTTTGGGGACCAGGGACAGCATAGGAAATGAGGGGAGTTTGGGAGAGGTCGCCCTTTGTAGATCTATAGCCCTCTTTGCTGCCACACAAAGAAGGGGGTGAGGTGGTTCTCCTTCAGATGGCTGCTCTGGCATCTGTCCAGCTGGGAAGTAGCAGGGGTCAGGCGGGGGGGTCCCTGGGAGTGTGTGTTGTGAACATAGAGAGCGGCTCTGAGACCCAGGGGCTGAGCTGGGACTGACTATGGATGCAAGGCTCTGGGTACCTGTCTGCTCCAGTCTGCTATCATGCATTCGGCTCATGCCATGACCAAGGGGGAAGTCTGGGTTAATGGGAACAACGCCCTAACTAAGTGAAGGCAATTACAGCACTAGCAGCCGGGCTCCTCCTGAGCTGCAGCCACTTAGCTCGGTAAAGCATTCTCCCATTCTGGTTCTGCCTAGCAGGGCAGAGTGGTTTCACTTGCTCACCTTTGCCGCACCCCCCCCTCCGTCTCCCTGTCCCAAGCAAGGGCCTTGACCTTGGAAGCCACTTTTCCCCCTCTTGCTCATCAACACCTACTGTGTCGTCCTCCTAGAGGTACCAAATCTCTCCTAAGACAGTGACTCTTGAGCCCCTCCATGGTTCCTCCAGAGATGGTGCCAGCCTCCTGCCCACCTCCAGCTGGTCCATTTACCCAGCTCCCCCCAGGACTCTGCTCCTCCCATCAACACACGGGCCAGTATTGGCTCCTGCAGCCACTCCTCTCGGGCTTGGCTCTGTTCTTCTCCCATCACCGCCACTGCCCGCAGCCTAGAGCCCTCTTTCCTTGCCCCTGCCCACCTGGCCTCACTGAGCTCCTTCCTCTCCTTCGGGCTAACCCACGCCTTCCCTCCACAGCTCTATTAGCTTGGTTGACTCTCATTCTTTAAGTCTCTGTTTAGACACCACCTTCGGGCAGCCCTCCAAGATATCCATGCCCACAGAGCACTCTCTCCTCCCTCCACAAAGGCTCCTCTCTGCTATTGGGACAGTTTGTCCCTGACTCAGCAGTGTGGACCCCCGAGCCTAGGATGTCTGTCCTTCCTGCTTACTGCATCTCTGCAATAGTTCATCTCTCAGGCCAACAGTGGGCTCAGACACCACAGGATGTGGGCTCAGCCGGTGGGGATCCTCACCTGAGCAGGTGATGCAGGAGATGCCCTCGGCACTCAGGTTGTACTTGAGGTCCAGCAGCACCTGGATGTTGGTGTCAGGCCGGAAGAGCAATGGGGCCCGGCTGGCGGGGCGGAGCCGACTGGCAAAGACCAAGGACAGGATGAGGATGGAGGCGAAGAGTCCTGTGAGGAAGACGCCGTGGAAGGTGGATGAGGCTGGCACTCCACCCTGGCGGAACCACTGTCAGTGTGGAGAATGGGCAGGGGGGAGTAGTCCCACCAGAGGTAGAGACTATGGTGTTTGTGGAGTTGCTGGGCCCGGCTGTAAGGTACAAACTGACACTCATCCACAGGGCCAGTGTGGCACTTTGAATGTAATTGACCCCCCCATAATCTCATAGGGAGTGGCATGATTAGGAGGTGTGGTGTTGTTGGAGTGAGCATGGCCTTGTTGGAGGAAGTGTGTCACCGTGGAGGCAGGCTTTGAGGTCATATACACTCAAGATACTACCCAGTGTCTCAGACCACTTCCTGTTGCCTACAGATCAAGATGTAGAACACTCAGCTCCTTCTCCAGCAACATGTCTGCCTGCACGCCGCCATGTCCTGCCAGGACAATAATGGACTGAACCTCTGAAACTGTAAGCCACCCCAATGAAATGCTTTCCTTTATAAGAGTTGCTCCAGCCATGGTGTCTCTTCACAGCAACAGAAACCCTAGCTAGTGTCTCAGAGCATCTGACAGTCCCTGCGGACCTGGTACTTCCCCTTGACTGCAGCAGCTCTGATGAGCCACTGAAGAAGGCGAAGGCTCCTCATGCATACTGAGCACCTGGCATGCCCCACCTGTGCCAAGCTGAGACTTTTATAAACACATCACGCTCCTGAGAGCTGTCTTCCTAGACCCTTGAGACAGAACCCAGGCCCGGAACAGGCTTCTACCACCGAGTTATGCCCTACACCCTGGGCACCATTACCACCTGCATTTTCAGGACAAGAACTCAAGTGTCAGACTGCCTGGCACAGCCAAGGTCACGGTGGGCAGAACCGGGGTTCAAACTCAGCCAGGCTAGTCTATTCCAGGGCCAAGCATGAGGACTTTGCTCTCTTGCCTGGCACAGGGCAGCCTGTGAGCTGTGGTGGAGGAGGCCCAGGGGAAGGAAGAGGAGGAGAAGGCAGAGAAGAGGTCCCACCCAGGTCTCTAGGTGCTACTCCATACCCAGTGTTTGTTACTTGTTTTGTTGTTGTTGTTTGGCTGGTTTTGGTGGGGGTGCGTCTACCCTCATGCCACTGTAGCGGTGGAGCCGGAAGGCGGAAGGAAGTGTTCACACTTACCTACAATCACCCAGCGGCTCTTGACAGCTGCCCATAAGACCCAGTGGTGCAACAGCTCTTGCAGCTGGGCCAGGAGCTGGCCCCTGCTGCTCCCATCGGGGGTGGGTTGCAGACCCTCACGGGGCACAGATACCAGCGACACGTCACCCAGCTCTAGAGACACTGCCAGGCAGAGTGGTAGCCAGTCAAAGTCTGGGCCTCAACCTGCTCTGGCCCACACCTGCCTGGGGAAGGCCACACACCAGGTAAGGTCCCCACAGGCCATCTGGCCTGGCCCCCTTGGGACCCGCCTATCTTTGCATGTCCCTGGCCAGGCTGGCCAGCTCTCACCTGGCTCATCCTCCACATTCAGCAAGGGGATGTCATCATCCAGGTAGGGTAACGGGCCCTGGGCAGGGCCACCCCCAGCCCGCTCTGGAGCTGCAAACAGGTCCCCAGGGAAATGCAAGGAGCTCTTGCGGCCGCACTTCTGGTGGCAGCTATGGAGGGCAGTGGACAGGCATGAGGCTAGGAGTCACAGCACCCAGAGAGGATGGGGCAAGACCAGGAAATTGCATGAGCCCAGGCAGCACATGGCTGCTCCTGCCTCTCAGGAAAAGGCAGCCCCGACCACAAGAGCCAGCGCTGAGTTCTTCTGGGGCCATCTACCCTCAGCTGTCGCTCTTCCTTGGGGACACAAAGGGTCACGGCAGGTGAAAGAGCTGTTCTATGATACCCTATGCCTAGGTCAGATTCCACATTTCCATAAGAGGCAGAGTAAGAGGACACAGGTCCTTGGGCCCTTGAGGGGAATGGTGGCTAAAGATGGTCAGTCCATAAGGATGCCCACCTCCTGTCCACATGTGACCACAAACAGATGCTAGGCAACAGTTGTTCCCTCCCTGTCCCTACCTAGCCCAGGGCTGAGCACACAGAAGCCCAGAGGGTTTGGAAAGAGATGGCTGGGTGCTGTGGCTACTCAGGGTGTGAAGGGTGCAGGCCACTCACCTGCTCTGGCATGAGCTCTCCAGGGGTGCCATGTAGAGGCTCCAGAGGCCCAGGGCCGCAGGCATGGTGAACAGGACAGCCAGCCAGCAGCAGGTCACAATGAGGGACATGAACAAGCCAAAGTCATGTACAGCTGGAATCTGCAACCAGGAGGCACGAGGACAGGATGATGGCTAGGCTTGGCTGTCTCTACAGCCGGAGACAACCCAAAGCTGGCTCTCTCCAGGATAAAGTAGGAACAGTTTGGCTGCGGGATGATAGCGCCAGGCCTGGAGGATGCCAGATTCTGGGGCTCTGCTGGACACAGCAGCAGAGGAAGAGCGTGCTCCACCCGAGGGCAGAGACTCGGGTCTACCTGCAGCCAGCTGGGAACAGCACCTCGCCAGAGTAAACATCCCGAAGCGCTATTACCCAAGTCAAGACACATGCCCCCAATCCAAGCTGCCAGTTGTTGAGAAGGAAGGGAAGTTTAGTACCCAGCAATGAAAACAGGTCACAGAGTCTCTCAAGATGTGTTCATAGGTACACAGGACCCACTCAGGAATATGGAAGTGGGAGCAACGCCGGGAGAGGGGGGAGAGGAGGAGAGAGAGGGAGAGGGACAGACAGACAGACCAACTGTATGAGGGATGAAAATGGGGCATGAGGTGCCAGGGAAAGAGCTCAGGCCAGGGGCGAGGAGACTGTAGAGGGGTCGCCATTTACCAGCTGTGTGACCATGAGTCACTTTACCTTTCTGAGCCCCAAGTTTCTGTGCTAGGAAGAAAAGAGACGGTGACTATACTTTTTTTTTTCTCTCCAAAAACCCAAATTGTTCTCAGTTACACCTGTGTCTAAGGAATAGAGTTTCCCTGGGGTTGATTGCAATCCCTTTTTCATCTTTTTTTTTAATTTATTTATTGACTATACTTTTATCTTGGGTTGTAAAAATCACATGAAAAGAGCTTCAGAACCTGCCGGGTTCCCCAGGGCCACGGCGGGGTACCTATTTGTGAGCACCAATAACTAACGGTATGATTGTAATCACCCCACTTGTTGGTTTTGGAATGAATGGGTGGTTAATCGCAGAGATGGACTTCGGGGTCACAGCAAGGGTCCTGAGATGAAGGTGCTGGGGTCAGGAGCCAGCCATGTGTGGGCAGATGAGAAGCCAGGACAGGGACTTTGGAGCAGGCTTCCCACCTGGGAGAAGACGTTGGCTGCGTAGGCAGCGGCCGTGGTCAGCGAGGTGAAGAAGGTGGCCTTGCCTGCTGTTTGGATGGTGTGGATCATCCTCAGCTGGGGGTCCTCCAGGTGGGTGGCCTGGCGGTAGGTGTTGATGAACACGAAAACATCATCCACACCTGTAGGAGGGAGGCCCGGCCGGCCGGAGGGCAGCTCAGCTCAGGCCCTGCTGCTGTGTCCCTGAGGCCAGGTGTGGGACGGTCTGGCAGAGGCTTAAGGAGGGCTATCTGGCTACAGCCAAGCCCCACCAGCCAGTCTCCTTGGCCCCACCCACTATGGCCAAGCCCCACCTACCAGACTCCTTGGCCTCACCCAGTGTCTCCAAGCCCCACCCACTGTGGCCAAGCCCCACCCACCAGACTCATTGGCCTCACCCAGTGTCTCCAAGCCCCACCCACTGTGGCCAAGCCCCACCCACCAGACTCATTGGCCTCACCCAGTGTCTCTAAGATCCACCCACTGTGGCCTAGCATCACCTACCATGCTCCTTGACTCCACTCAAGTCTCCAAGATCTACCCACAAAGTCTGAAGCACCACCTGTGCCAGACTCCTTGGCCACACTCACTGAATTCAAGCCCCATCCATCATGCCTTTTGGCCCCACCCAGCCCTCTTCCAAAGTTGAGCTGTGGTTTCCACCACCTTCGTCACCAGCCAGGATACCTTCTTGGGGAATCGGGAGTCCTGTGCCGCGGCGGGGAAAACTCACCAATGCCCACGATCACAAAGGCGGCCACTCCATTGAGGATGCCAAGGTACTGGATGCCAAAGACCACGTGGTAGAGGAAGAGGGCCACCAGGCAGCTGAGACCGATGCTGGCAATCCCGAAGAAGGATAGGAACACTGGGCAGTGGAGGAGCAGAAGGGCCATGGCAGGGCCCTCATAGAACACAGGCCCCCTTCAGTAACCCTGACCTCAGCCCCTCATCTTGGCCCCCCTGCACCACTCTGTCTGTTCCCAGCCAGGTGGAGGGACAATTGGCAGAATTTGAAGCCCTTCATTTCTACAGAAGGCCTGTGTGGCAGATGGGACCTCTTATAGACAACCTCACAGACAAGGAGAGAATTGTGAGTGTTTTATACTGTGTGTCACCTGAACACACAGTATAAAACCTATGTCCGGTTCACCACTGGATCTGGAGGTGTCAGAACATCGGGCATACAGCTAGTGCTCAGTTAATATTTGCTGCATGGATGATTGCGTGCCTTGTCCAGTTTTCTATCTCTGCTCACTTGGGCAAGAGCACACACCTACTGTATACAAGCAGCTATTAGAGGCAGCTGGTGCAGGTGAGGAGGTGGCAGCAGCGGGGAGGAAGGTTACGGGCTAAAGGGAAGCTGATGTAGTACATAGAGCAGGCTCTTGAGTAATCCATAACAGTCTAAAAATATCCCAGATGCCCCTACACAAAGTTGTCGTGGTGTCTGAGCGTCATCCGGCCCAGCACGGACAAAGCCAGATTCGAGGCTATCCCGGAACGCTTGAGCAGGCTGGCGCGTGCTGCGGGGAGAGAAGACGCTGGCTCACATGAGCCTTCCGAGATGCCGTACCTGAGCAGGAGGTGAGGATGTAGACCAGGGCTGCAATGCAGCTGCTGCTGATGAAGGCAAGGAGCATGTCGTTATTGAAGGTCCTGCGCACCTCGTAGTCAAAGAGGTCTGTGCCCCCATAGAGGACCTGGACTTTGCTGGTGGAGGGAGGCCGTGGAGAAAGGAAATACAAAAGAGAGACTGAAGATGACTGTGGACACTTGAGAGCCGGAGCTGTGCCCTTCATCCGCGGATCTTTACCTTGACTGCTCGTTAAAATCACTTGAGCTTCCAAAAGTCTTAATATCTAGGCCTGATGCCAAGCAAATTAAATCTTAATTTCTTGGGTGGAGCTGAACCAAGTGTTTGTCCCTTCCCCCAAATCTTCCAGGTGATGCGTACATTGCATCAATCTTAGCCGAGGTTGAGAGCCACCATTCTACACCAATAATAATCAGTGACAACCAACCCCCATGCCACCTTCAGTTCTCAACGGTTCACAGCAGAATCTAAAGGCAATCAAACTGGCTCCAAATAATCCCATTTTACACCGCTGTTCAGTGTGTGCACACTACAAGTTACTTACCGCAAGAGAGCCTACCAGGATGATTAAGCTGCTTTCTCTCGTGTGAATGTGGATGTGGTATGTTCATGCCTGCTCATATGCGTGAGTGCACATGTGTGCACATGCACTTGTGTCTGTGTGGGTGTGGAAGCCCAACATTGATGTAGAAAGTCTTCCTTGATGGCTCTCTCTGCCATATTCATTTTCAAGTGAACCCAGAGTCCTCTGGCACTACTAGTCTGGCTAGCCAGCTCGCTCTGGGGCTCCATCTCCACTTTACAAGGTTTAGAATTACAGGTGGACTGCGACAGTCACCTGGCGTTTATGTGGCTTCCAGAGAGCCTGTGGATCTGGGGCAGGTGCCTGGTCCTCACAGTCAGGCAACAAACACTTAGCCACTGAGCAATCTCCCCAACTACAAACTGTATTTATTTTTAGTTTCGTCAGACAGAGCCCCACTATGTATCCCTGGCTGGCTAGAAGGTTCTATTATACCAGGCTATACTTGAACTACGGTAGTCTATCTGGCCCTGACTCGTGAATACTGACATTAAAGGTACACCACCATACCCAGCCCTCTCCAAACTGTATTTTTAAGATTTATTTTTTTTTATTTTATTTGTGTGTGTGTTTCTTTGTGTGTGCCATGGATGTGTGGGTACCCACAGAGGCTCATGGAAGGCTTCAGATCCCCTGAAAATGGAATTACACCTGGTGTGCGTTCTGGGACCTGAACCCGGATCCTCTGGAAGAGTACTGTATGCCCTCAGCCACCGAGCAACCTCTCCGGCACCCAAGCTGCTTTAAGAGGCAAGCAAGAGTGACACTTTCAGCAGTGCCGGAGCGACGGCTTGACATCTGGACCGGCCTTACCACCGCAACCACAGACATATGAAGAAAAGGGCTGGAGAGGAGGCTGAGTGGTTACAGCATGTGTGTTCTTACAGAGAACCTGGGTGTGATCCCGGGTACCCATATGGTGGCTCACAACCGTCCATAACCTAGTTACAGGGGATCCGACAAGCACTCACGTGGTGCACTTATATGCACGGAGGTAAAACATTCACATACATAAAAAATAAAAATAAATCAATCTAAAAAACTTTTAAAATATGAGAAAACATGAAATCGGACTCTGGACACCAGACCACAGAGGACCGTGATCCTCTGAGATAAGAGATAAAGTAGGTGCTATGGCTCCGGGGCAGGCGCCTGGACAGGGCTGTGGATTCTGGGCAGGCGCCTGGACAGGGCTGTGGATTCTGGGTAGGCGCCTGGACAGGGCTGTGGATCTGGGGCAGGCGCCTGGACAGGGCTGTGGCTCCGGGGCAGGTGCCTGGACAGGGCTGTGGATCTGGGGCAGGCGCCTGGACAGGGCTGTGGATTCTGGGTAGGCGCCTGGACAGGGCTGTGGATCTGGGGCAGGCGCCTGGACAGGGCTGTGGATCTGGGGCAGGCACCTGGACAGGGCTGTGGATCTGGGGCAGGCGCCTGGACAGGGCTGTGGATCTGGGGCAGGCGCCTGGACAGGGCTGTGGATCTGGGGCAGGCACCTGGACAGCGCTGTGGATCCCGGGCAGGTGCATGACAGCGCTGCTGTACCCAGGAGAGCCTCGCGCATCAGTTACTAGATTCTCCAGTCACTGGCAAATTCCTTAAACTTGATGAAAACGGTGAGCCTGTCGATCCAAGAAGCTGAACCATGAGCTCCAAAGACCAAGCAAGTACATGGACAATAGGGTGCATCACCTGTGAGCTGCTCGGATACTCTCACAAGAGAGAAAAAATGACAGAGGGAAAAGAGATGTCGCATACCGCAGAGCAAAGAGAAGAGTGACAGCAGACGTCTGGTAAGAAATGAAAGTCAGAACACGGCAGCCTCCCCAGACACTCAGGGGAAACCCAACCCAGAATTCTATACCCAGCAAAAATACATTTCAAAAGCAAAGGCAAAATCAAAACTCTGTCCACCATACAAGCCAGAAATTGCCTCTGGTATGCTCACATACTGAAGATGCTGAGGGCGCCCCTCAGGCCGAAGGAAGATGAGAGCGTGCAGGAAGGAGGATCTGCAGGAAGGATAAAATGCACTAGAGATGAAAATGCCACGAGCAAGAAATGCAACGTTTCCGCTTATCTCTACAAAAGACAACTGGCCACTTAAAAATAATAAGGTTGTGTGGGGTTCCTAACAAACAGAATGTGGACCACAGTAGTGTGGAGGCCACAGGAAACCCAGAAGGCTATAACTGTGTGCTATGCTACCATCTCAAAGATACACCGTGATACTTAAGGAGGTACCCTATAAATCCTAAAGTAGCCACTGAGAGTTATGGCTAAAAAATAGGATTAAAATAAAAGCATAAGAAATAATTCACCCTGACGAAATAAAAGAATTCCTCATTCCATCTGTTCAGCACCAGGGTCTGACGGTGTCAGCAAGCAAACGGGGAATGAAATGTATCTGTGCTGGAAAAGAAAATGTAGATCTATCTTCATCAGTATAATATATGCTTATCTGTGTGGAAAATGCAACGGAACCTAAAAAACAAAGCAGCAACAACAGAAAACCCTAAGTTTGACAAGGTCGTAGAACACAAAGGCCATTATAAATTTAAGTTATAAATTAACAGCTGGAGAGTAAATTTTAAAATTATATTATTGTAGGAGCAAGAAAATGGAAACTTCTTAGAGATAAAATGAAAAATGACACTAGATGTACCATGTTCATAGTTCCAAAGATGCAGTATTTTAAGGTGTCAATCACATTCAAGAGTCCAGCAGACTTTTCTGTCTCCTGGTACTTGGGGCTGAACCCAGGGCAACCACGTTGGAGAACTCCGGAAGTCTCCTAAGTTAAACATAGGCCCACCATGATTGCTCGGTCATTTTGCTCTGAGGCATTTCTCTAAGGCAAAAAGAATTTGTCCCTACAAAAATGTATACACCAACACTCACGGGAGCTTTATCTGTAACGGTTCAACCTGGAAGCAACACAAACACTCACTCGCCAATGTGTGAAGAGATGAACAAAATATGACCTCCATACAATGGAGTACTATTCCATGTTCAACAATAAACTGTTGAAATATGGTAAAAACATGGGCACAATTGAAACTGGCTAGAAGGAATGAATGCGTTCCATCAAAAGAGAATATAAGATACCATGTATACAAAATTCTAGAAAAGGGATGTCTATGCATGCTGGTAGAAAGCAGAAAGAGTGGGCTGGAGATGTGGCTCAGCAGTTAAGAGCACGGTCTGCTCTGGCAGGGTTCAAATCTCAGTACCTGCCTGACAGCTGGCCCATGTCTGTAATTTCAGTTCCAGGGAGACAGATGCCCTCTTCTGGCCTCTTAGAGCATTGCATGCATGTGGTGCATCTAAATACATGCAGACAAACGCTCATACACATAAAATTGAACAAAACAAAAATGGAAATTGATTGCTAGGGCTGGGGCTGGGAAGCAGCTTGGAAGCAGGGTGGAGGATGAGAGAGTTGTCAGTGGACATAAGAAAATGTGCTGGGAAATTCACGATCTTGACACTGGATGTGTTAGGATTGAAATGTAAGTATATACAGTTGGTCATGTACCAATTATAACTCAACAATCTTTTTTTATTTCCTTAGCCTCATATATAATAGCCAAGAAGAAAATATCTCTGACTTTCTTACTTTGATGAATTAGATAGATCATTTTTCTTTGAGTAAAAAAAGCTGAAAGTTAAATGAATCATTTGCTGTGTATACATACATATATACTTCCTTTACGGAGTGTCTTATGGGGAAGGGAGCCAGAGAGATGACTCCGTGGTTAAGAGCACTGGCAGCGCCTGCGGAGGACCTGGGTTCAGGTTCTAGCACTCACATGGTGGCTACGCACACACATGGTATACACGAATGCACACAGGGAAAACACACACATTTAAAAAACAGACAGACCAACCTAAATGCCCTTGACCCAAGAATGGATAAGGAAAATGTGGTACATTTACACAATGGAGTACTGCACAGCAGAAAAAAATAATGACATCTTGAATTTTCCTGGCAAATGGATGGAGCTAGAAAACATCATTTTGAGTGAGGTAACCCAGACCCAGAAAGACAATTATCACATGTACTCATTCATAGGTGGTTTTTAAACATAAAGCAAAAGAAAACCAGTCCACAAATCACAATCCCAGAGAATCTAGACAACAATGAGGACACTAAGAGAGACATACATAGATCTAATCTACATGGGTAGTAGAAAAAGACAAGATCTCCTGAGTAAATTGGGAGCATGGGGACCTTGGGGGAGGGTTGAGGGGAGGGAAGAGGCAGGGAGGGGAGCAGAGAAAAATGTAGAGCTCAATAAAAATAAATTAAAAAAATAAAAGGAGAGGAAAAACAGTCATTTTAAGAAAGCAGCAATGCCGGGCAGTGGTGGCACATGCCTTTAATCCCAGCACTCGGGAGGCAGAGGCAGGCGGATCTCTGTGAGTTCGAGGCCAGCTTGGTGTAGAAGAGCTAGTTCCAGAACAGGAACCAAAAGCTATGGAGAAACCCTGTTTCGAAAATCCAAATTAAAAAAAAAAAAAGGAAAAGAAAGCAGCAATGGACAGACAAGATGGCTTGGTGGGTAAGGGAGCTCCGTGGGTGGTTCTGGAACCCACCTAAGTGGAAGGAGAGAACAAATTCCTGCAAGCTGTCCTCTGGCTTCCACATGCACACAGGGGCATGCATGTGCCCTCACATGTTCGCATACACATAATGAACAAGCCTAATAAAAATTCTCAATAAACTACAGGAGCAACAAGAAAGAGTTGCGGCTGACTTCTCTACTGAAAACGACGGCAGCCGTGAGACAATGGAGCGGCGTCTTTAAAACAGAGAACAAACACAGCTGCCAATTTGGGACATGGCACAAATGAAGTCGATTAGAGAAATGAACGTAAAATAAAAGTGCTTTCCAGGCAAACAAAACAGAAGTCACCATCAGCAAATCTGCACTCAGAGAATAGTAAAAAAGAATTCTTCAGACACAGAGAAAGTGGTCCCAGAGGGAAGCATGAAACCGTAGAAAGTAATGAGGAGCAACAGGAAAGGTAAACACGAAGATAAACAGAAGTGAGCCGGTTCTGCAAGACAGAATGGGCTGGGGGGCTTTAAGTGTATGTACAATTAAAACGCGCACAACAAAACCACAGGAGGATGAAGACAGTAAACGCCACGCACTGTTCTCAGTCGCTGGTGTTACCAACGAGGCCAGAAAAGCGACGCTACGTGTAACTACGCCTTAAGTCAAGGTGTGTTTTCCTCCCAAGTCACCAATAATTCAACAAGAAAAAAGATTCTGTGAATCTGAAAGAAGGCATTAAAATTAAATCCTCAGGGCCCGGCTCTTACTTCCTTGCCAGGGCAAGGCCTTGAACTTAACAGCCGAACATTTCAGCAGAGGTAGGTGTTACCCACACACAGGCGTCACCGGACTTCCTACCTCGTAGACTGCTTGGCTAGCATGGCCACGTAGGTGACCACGAAACTCTGAAACTTGGCCCTCTGTTCCTCCCAGCGATCATCTACTGAGTAGTAGTTGGGGAGCGGGGCTCCAAACAGGATCTCGCTGCGCAGGAGGGAGCTCTTCAGATTATCCACCGAGAGGCCTTCATCTACGTACCAGTAGAACTCGGGGTGAGTCATGGCCAGCTCTAGGGAGCCTGCAGGGGACAGGGAAATCCAAAGAGCTCAGTGCACAGCTCCCACCAGCAGCCCTCCTTCCACTACAACATCTGACACAAAATCTACAGTTTCCTAAGGATGAGCCTCCTTTGCCTGAGCAGGCAGTTCCCACTAAGCAAATTACGCTTTGATTCCAATTTGAACCCCACCTGATTCCAAGGCTCAGTCTATAATCCTGTTAAATCCCTATCCTGCCTGTACCCTCCCTCCATCCCAGACCCTACTCTCTAAAGCCCTACCCCCAGGATACTCTAAACCTTATGTCTCATATTTCTCTGTGTCCTGGCTAGTGTTTTGTTTTGTCTTGCGGTTTGACACAAGCTAATGTTATCTGGGAAGCTGGGAAGAGGAACCTTAACTTGGAAAACTGGTCCATCAGATTGTAGGCAAGTCTGTGGGAACATTTTCTTGATTGTTAATTGACAGAAGAGGGCACTATTCTTGGGCAGGTGGTCCTAGGGTGTTTAAGAAAGAAAACGGAGCAAGCAAGCCAGTAAGCAGCTGTCTTCCACGACCTCTGCTTCAGTTCCGGCCTCTAGGTTCCTGCCTTGAGTTCCTGCCCTGCCTTCCTTCGATGATATATCATGATGTCGAAGTGCAAGAAGAAATAAACTCTTTGCTCTCTAAATTACTTTTAATTACAGTGTTTTTATCACAACAATAGAAACCTAACTTCCTTCCAGGCCCTCTCTAACCAACCCCACCCCCAAGTGTCTCTTCATGTTTTCTCTCTGTCTGGACTCAACCAAAGTCCCAAAGTCCCATAGTCCCAGTGGCATCCTATTCTGTTGCTTTCTCTCCCTCTTCCTGTCCAATCCCAGCTGCACACCCCACTGATGTCACGCCCCCTGGCCACGCCCTAGCTCTGCGAAGTCCTTTGCCATCAGTGCACCTGCTCACCCCGTATATCCGCCAGGTCCTGGCCCATGCCGTCGTAATAGATCTTGCCGCCCCTCTCGGTGGGAAAGAAGTAAGTCATGAGTGAGCTGGGCGGGGAGCAGTAGGAATAGGAGCCGAGAGGTAGGTCCTTGAGTACCTCGTGCGGCTTCCAGCAGAACTCCCGGAAGCCTGGGTGGTCCATGATCTTTCGTTCGATCTCGTGGATCGTGACCAGGCGCTCGCTCGTGAAAATGTTGCGCTCCGCGTCTCCCCGCGCCAGGAAGATGAGCTCGATGCGCCAGTGTGCGTGGGTCTGGGTGTTGGCGCTCACATAGGTGCGCGAGTAATCCCAACGCGAGGTGCCCCGACGGGATCGGCTCTGATTGGCTACCTGGTCCCCCTGGGGCGGAGCCTGGCGTCGATGTCGCTCACTCGGACTGGCTGTTGATCTCTGAGTGGCAGGGGTGACCCTCGAAGCTGAGCGAGGGGTCCGGGATGCCTGTCGCGAATGATTCCCCAGGTGCAGCTGCTGCAGTTGCTCTGTGATGAGGCGCTGCAGCGTTTCGGAAGTGAAGTCCGCCAAGTCCCGCCTGTTGCGCCCCCAAGATCCAAACTGGGATTTGAGGGCCAAGGCCAGAGCGTCAAAGCGCTGCGACGCCTCATGGTTGCGGATTTCGAAGGCATTGTAGGAGATGTCGATGTCCAAAGGCGGGTAGTAGAGAAACATGAAGGCAGACAGCACCATGGGGATGCTGCAACCGAGGAACAGCACCAGACCTGCGCAGCATGGGTTGGTGAAGGCCCAGCCCAGGGTGCTCCAGAACCCTGAGGCTGGGGGCCGGGAAGGCAGCGTCCAGCGTCTCCAGCAGCCCTGTGCTCCGGAGGGCAGCTGTGCCCCAGAGACACCTCTATAGGCCTCACCCGAGGTCTCCTCCTCCTGCTGTTCCTCGTCTAGCCACACATCCTGCAGCAGGGGGTCATCCTCCGAGTCCATAGCCTAGGGGAAAAGGATGGGTCAACAGCCTTGAGAAGGGAGGCTTCGCCCAGCCTGAGTACCAAAAGCAGATAGCAGTTCCGCCATGGGATCGAATCACGCGCTCACTATGGTCTAAGGAACCCAAGCATATGTGCACCTACCAGGAAAAACACGGCCCGTCGTCCCTCCCTGTCCCCCCCCCCCCCCCCCCCCCCCGGCAAATTGGTCTTGGATTTCAAGACGGGGAGGGGGTTGCTGGGGCTGGAGATAGGGTTCAGTGGTTAAGAGCACTGACTGCTCTTGCAGAGGACCCAGGTTCAGTTCACATCACACACACACACGGCATCTCATAACGATCTGTACCTCCGGTTGCAGCAGATCAGACTCTAAGGGGCATCAGGCACACATGTGTGCACACGCATACATGCAGACAAAATAGCCATGTGCATAATAATAAAGAAGAAAAGGAGACTCGTAAGCCAATTGCAACAGAAAAAAAATTCTTCTTGTGTGTAAAAGCCAGCCAAGACTTCTGGCTATACGTGATTATGTGATTTTTCAATCTTTGCTGCATTCTCTGTCCAACTCCAGAACTCAAGGCCAGTGTAAGAAGTGGTTCCATAGCAACTGTGTCTGTATAATGAGCAACTAACTGTAAAGCACCTTCAGGAGTCTGTCAGGGTAGAGGGAGAGAAAATGATCTCTGGAGTCAGACAGGTCCGGGTTTGGGTCCTGGCAAGACTTGCAGCCACCCTGAATTTCAGAGTTACCCTCTATAAACATTCCTGTCTCAAAGGAGTGCGGGGTCAGAGGTGGAAGTACTTTGCAGTCTGTCAGGCAATCACAGTTCTTTTGTTCCTATTTGGAGACTATAACGCCCTCAGCCATTGCCCAGGGGACTGTGCCAGGACTAGGTGTCTGCCACAGGGCCCTCCGTCTATCCCCACCCCGTCCCTGCACGCGGCAGCAGCTGCTGCAGCCACCATTTGTCAGGCTTAGACCACTTAATATGCAGCCCCGGCAACCGGCAGCCCTCTGAGCGCAGGCAGGGACTAGGCATCTCTCAGAGAGATGTGAGGACTCCCACGGGGTGGCCCAAAGGCCACCTTCAGTGTCACTGGGATGGCCTGCCACCTCGATGGAGGGAGACTCCTCATCCAGATAGACCACAGGCAGTGGGCTTGAGGACGCCGCTCTTCCCACTGGCGTTTCTTGGAGCACTCAGCTTCAATTAGCTGGTCAACCGGGAGGAAGAGGGTGCTGTCAGTCCAGAGGACATAAGGGAGAGGGAGGAGTAAGGGATAGACTCATGAAGAGAGCAAGGTAGGGGGGTGGAATAATGGGAGAAGAGTCAGATGCAATGGAGAGAAGGAAGAGAAAATGACTGAGGGACCCTCCGTGTCCAAGACTTAAAAGAAGGAAAAAATCAAGAGAAAGACCCCTTCGTGGAGAGCAAAGAAAGAAAAGATGTTCCCAGTTCTCCTCCTCCCTGCTTCCCCCTCTCCCTTCCTGCCTTTTTATTAGGTCTATTCTGTCCCCTTCCCCACTGTGTGTAGGTGCGCATATACTAATCCACAGGGTGCATATGGCATTCAGAGGACAGCCCTCCCCGTCATCATGTGTGTTCCAGAGACTGAACTCGGCTCGCAGGCTCACCTTTCCTTCCTAAGCCATCTCACCAACACACTTCCTGTGTGTGCTCACGTCAACATGTGTGAGTTTACGTGCATCATGTGTGTACAAGTGCCCACAGATGTCAAATGGCATCGGGTTCTCTGGAACTCAAGTGATGTGGGTGCTGGGAACTGAACCCAGGTCTTCTCAAGAGCAGTAAGTGCTCTTAACCACTGAGCCATCTCTCTATCTCTGTCCTTGTGACCTTTGATGCTGGGTCTCATATAACTTAAGCTAGCCTCAAACTCTTTATGTAGCTGAGGATGACCTTGAACTCCTGAAAACTCTTTATGTAGCTGAGGATGACCTTGAACTCCTGATCTTCTTGCTTCTACCCCCAAAGTGCTCGGGTGCCAGTCATGAACTACCATGCCTGCCTGGCTGATGCAACCAGTTTCAAGGCCAGTCTTGCTGGGACTCAAAGCCATATCTGAAGCAAAATCCCACTTTTATAACCAGAGGGCACGGTGGGGAAGGAATCTCATATGTATGTACTTTAAATATAGCTCAATGAGAATGATTATCACTGCCCAGGAGGATTATGGATGATTTTTATTTTCTCTTTTATGTTTGTCTGTTTCCAAATTTTCTGCAATGATCAGGTAAGCCTTGCTTTTGGAATCAGAGATAAATGTTATTTAAAAATAGCGCGCGCGCGTGTGTGTGTGTGTGTGTGTACTCGTGTGCATATTTTCCCAGCTGTCTTTACCTCTTTAAAGAGTCATGATAATTCACACAGGGTGGGGGAGGAGAGTGCTGGCCTCTAAGAAACAAACCACAGAGACTGGACACAGGACACAGCAGTAAGAAAGTGTATCACTGGGTTAGGAGGGAAAGGAGAGTAGACACTCCCAGTCCTTTGAGACAGAGAGAGCAGTCGTGAAAGGAAAAGGAAGTAAATCACAGCACATAAAACCTTAGCAAAAGCACTGTGAATGTGGCTTGGTTGTAGGGAGCTTGCTGAACACTCATGAATCCCTGGCTTCCACCCCCAGCATCCATAAACCAAGACACATAACCTCCAATCCCTGCACTCAGGAGATGGGGGCTGGAGTGTCAGGAGTTGAAAGGCTATCCTCAACTTCACTGCAAATTCGAGACCAGCGTGGGCTGTATAAAATCAGGTCTCAATAAACATATCACATACAGCACTTCCATTGTACACATGGGAAAACTGAGACCCAGTGAGCAGGGTCATGACACCCAAGGTCATTCCAGCAGCCAGCAGTTGGGCCAGGATTCTTGCGTGGAAGGTTTCTATTTTGCCACTAGGTTCTGGGGTAATTTTTCATCAGCCCCAGGGGACAGGCAGGTCTGGGGATGATAGACATATTCAAAGTAGAGAGAGAAGCTGTTTAAAGTCTACAGGGAACGGACCTGTGGTGGGGGGCAGAGTGGACACTGGTCCGGGCCCCCACTTAGCACCCAGGCAGGAGGCCCAAGCCAAAGCTCTCTGTTTACAGCTTCCCTCTTTCTAGCCAGGGATGACAGACTCCTTCTTTCTTCTTTCCCTTATCCCAGCCAGACTATTAAAATGTAATCAAAAACTCACATTAGACATGCAGAGTCTACTTAAAACACATATATGTATATATATAATTTAACGGCAATTAGGAGCTAATCAGCTTTTTTTTTTTCTCCCTGACTCGGTGTTTTGCTTCCTTGGTTCAGCGCTGGTCCACGAACAGCTCAGAGCCCTTAGAATCCCTCACTCTTGGGTTGAGAGATTCGGGCAGAAGTTCAAACCGAGATATTTTGAGTTAAGTGGTTCCACTCTGGGGCTGTGTTGGAGAGGACACGGTGTGTCTCTCCTGCTTGTGGGTCTGCCTCTCTCACGAGCCCAGCTCATGCAAAAGGAAAGGAAGAGGTCACAGACACTCCTCTGTATTGCTGTCCTGAGTCTTGGTCCTGTCTTCCCGATGCTCTCACTATGTGCCTGTAGCCCAGCATCCCCAACCCTTTCCGGTGACCTGAACACTCCGCTTCAAACTAGGAGACTGGTGACAGCTAAAACGCTCAAAGGGGCAAAACCACACGCCTGGGGTGAAGCCAAAGCCCGAATAGCTTAGCTGGAATCTCCGACACTCGTTAAGATAATTATAGCATCTTAATTAGTTCTGCATCCACCAGGCCACCAGGATTTTCTATCCGTCTTCTATCAGTTTCGCACCAACCTTGCAACAGAGGCATGTGAACAGCCCCATTTTACGAAAGAAAAAAATTCACAGAGAACATTGATATCTATACATATCCAGAGGCTCTGTTTCACTAGAGAACTCTAATACAAAGGAGTAAGGAGCGGAGAGAAAGTGGGATTGACACAGAAAACCCTCCTGTAGCAACTAGGCACTAGGGCAGTTCCAGAATTTTCTCCCAAAAAACCCAGGCCCTAGTCTGGATATATAGACCAGTAGAGAATGCTTGCCTAGCCAGTGTAAGGCCCTGGGTCAAACCCCAGTAGCAGAGAAAAGGAAATTCCAGACCCTCACTGGGGAATGCCCCCCAGACCTCTAGACGAAGGCAGATGGTACTTCCCCGAGCCCTTCATTCTTCCTCCCACAAGACCCACTCAGACCTCTGCTCATCCCTGGGGCAGGCTGGCTGTGCCCAGCTGAGGCAGATGCCTAGACCTCCTCCATCAGAAGTGCTCCCAGGAGGCTCCATCCTGCTGGCTCAGAGGGGCCTCGGCTTGTTGATTAGAAGTCTAGGTGGGGTGGAAGAGGAAGAGGGTGGGGCTGTGGTAAGCCTGCCCGAGCCCCCCATTTCTCAGAGAAGGACAGGCTGCTGAGATGGAGTAGGTGAAGGATGGCTGTCCTCCCAGGCTGACAGCTGCTGACGAAACGGGGCACCGACTCGTAAACGCAACAGCTCAATATATACTGAGCAAACAAGCTTTGCCCTGGGCGGTATATCAGCCAGGGCACTGTCCCAGAATCCCTAGAGAAACCTCACAATCATGGCCCGGAAGCTGCTTCCTTCCTGACGTTCTGTGGATTCCCTCTGGTGGGCTCAGTGGGACAGGACTGGTCCCCTGACAACAAGAGGTTATCAGAGACTCGAAAGAACCATGGCTTGATTTCAGGAGCGAAAGGTAAGCTGAGCAGCACAGACTGTGTAGTTAGTAGACCTGGGTTCAAATCCCGGCACTGCCACTAGCTGGGTGTTTGGAGCAGGAATGTTTCTCCCTCAAAAAAAAAAATAGCGGGAGACTTGCCTTCAGCTGGCCTTACTGTGTGGCCAGCACACACTATGTGCTTTTAAAATATTACATTTATTTGTTTACTGTGTGTGTGCATACATAGGTGTGTCGAGGAGGTCAGGGCACACCTCGTTGGAGTCAGTGCCTT